TAACATTCGATTCCAATAAAATGACTTTTATGCTTGTACCGAAATTAGTATTTTCGTTACTTTGTGAATGTTCATGAACAGTGACTAAACATTTCCCGTACAGCAGGAATCTGTTATGTAGGATGGTAACAGCTATAATAACATTAGACGGTGACCAAACACGAGAGCTTCAGCGACTAATAAACTTAATGAAAAAATAGCATTGAAAAAGGTATGTTACGTCACCGTGTTTATGCAGGCTTTCCTAAAAGCTTAAATGCATTTATATTTTAGTGAACTACCCTTATACAATAGAAAAGGAGGCTAATTCAGGTACAGCTTTTGAATTTAATTAGCTAGCCTGTATAATGGAGTTTCTTCATCAACATGAACCATTTGGGCGAACTATTGCATTGTCGTAGTAACTGTATGTTTGAGGTACTGTCTTTTACTGTTTACTTACTTTTCTATCTATTATCTGAACCATTATATGACAATAGTCTTTATACATGCGTATATATATATTTATACCTGACCGATTGTTACCAAACCTGGCATATATCCTTACCCCCCCCCCCCACCTCAGAGAGTGACATATGGTCGGTAATCGGATCTGACTCCATATATCATCTCCTCGTGCACCCTACGCCTTCAACGTGTGTTGAATAGATACGTCAGCTAAACAAATTATAAATCTGTTTATTTAGATAGTTGTCTGTTTGGGCCTGGCATAGCCTTGTGGTTAGGGCGCTCGACTCGCAATACACGGATCGTGGAATCGAAACCCGTCACTGAACATCCTCAGCTGTGGGGGCATTATAATGTAACAGTCAATTGTTGATACACACAGTAATTCAAGAGATGGTTGTAGATGGTGTTGACAAGCTATCTTCTCTCCAGTCTATTATTAAGAATTAGGGATGGCTAGCACAGATAGCCCTCGAGTAGCTTTGCGCAAAATTTAACAATAACAACAACAACAAAAAAAAACAACAAAAAACAACAAACTATTCTTATTTTAAGATTTGTTTGTTTAAAATCACATAACATTTTAATAAGAAAATGAGAAAGAAGCTTTTAAATCGCACACATTTTCACACGAATTACATAATATTTTTGATTACACATAACTTTAAATAAAATGTTATTCGACTAAGTTTTGTTTATGAAATGTAACAAATGTCGCTTGTAAGTGCCAAAATAGTACAACAGCTGGCTCCCCCCCCCCCCTGTTGATCGAGGTATCTGATGAATGAGATCTCACGAGGTATTCAATCGTAAAGCGCGCTCTTTTAGCAAAATAAGAAAACTCGCGTGCTCATACTATAGTTGATCCCACACACCTGTCGGAACATTAATCCAGTAACTGTGACAAATTAGCTTTTTCGACATTTCGGGTAAAGTTAATCCGGACAAATGCATTCACATATCCAAACAACAGAAATATTTGGATCGACATTGTAGTGTACAGCTCATAGTACTGGCTCGGTGTCAAGATAATTTTATTGACTGGAAATTTTTAACATGTTTAAGTCGTTGTCACAGCTCTCTGAAATGAGAATCGTGAATGTCCATTCTCTCAGAAGAGCTAGATTTACAAACCCAATCCTGATGCGTAAATATGCGGGCTCTGCAACTAACACTATACAATCATGCAAGAAAAATAACATTAGGGAAATGATGATAAACATTGTCCATCCTTTCATGAGAAATGGCAACTTTTTAGGTCATATCCTGGGATGTTTGTCATTAAATTTTACAAATTTAGCCAAACAATCAATTTAACATTTTAACTGTTAAAAACAAACAAACAAGAAAAAAAAACTTACATATACGGAGTATCGGGCTTTCGGAGTAATGGGCCCTTTGACTGACAGACCGTCACAGACTCTTATGTATTATTTGTAGTAATGTAGGAGTAAAATAACAGTTCGAATGCCATATATTATGTTTAGGTAATTGCCATTGTTCAAATGGAATATATAAAAAAGGGGGATTTTTTTTCAATATTGTGCACATTACTGTCAGAAATATCATTGTTTCATTGCTACAATAACAGTATGGCGGGATAAATAATTATCTAAATTACACGTCAAAAACATTTGTTCATTTATCAAAATTTGTCATTTTGTATTAAAATGACTTTGCGAGTGGTACAGCATTGTATCTTCCGAACACGCACATAAAACTAAATCCCTGTTCGATAAGTCTAATCATTTTATATCCTTACACCAGTGCCGGATTAAGCTAAGCCACAGCTTAGGGCCTCACAGTATATGGAACTTTTTAGTTGCCTATAAAAAGAAAAAAAACTGACTCCGTTTCAATTTTTATATCATATGAAACCTCTTAAACTTGACATAACTTAGGTCCTCAGAATGTCATAATCCGGCACTCCCTTACACCACAACCCAAAAATATTATTGGAGATATTTTGTAAACTTGAACATGAAATGAGTTAATTAAGTTCGTGATCTGGAAGGGAACCAGTAACTGCTTTAATTTAAAACGTTGAATGTGAAGCGTTCAGTACTTCTATGTGAAACAGGCCATTAAATATAAGGCTTAATTTACTGTCCATCATAAGCAATATTAATTAAATTAAACATAAGTTTGGAATCATGACTTTTGATTTGCGATCTGCCTTTTTCACTAATTTAACTAAATGTCTTTTGTTATGGCTGAATAGAGAGAATACTATAAACTCATTAGCAAATAAGGCCTAACTCTCACTTCAAGATAAATAACGCGGCTTAGCGTTTTAGCGGTTGTGGTTTAGATCTGTAAAATCGTTTTCAATATGAATTGCAGTGTGTGGAAAAAAAACCGAACAAAAAAAGAAGTGCTATTTTGAGAAAATGATTCAGTTTATGCACATCTATATGTCAGTGACAACACGCAGTTCAAACATCTGTTTCTGAAAGGCTACAAATTGTGTCAGCCTTTTAAGAACGAAAAGTTTTTCAAGTCTGAACATTTCCCAGAATGAAGCCGCTCAACTAGTGCAAAAAAAAATAAATAAAAATCCACAAAAGAAAGTAAAAAAAGATGATTCAAACCTTTAAAAGTGCAAAGAAAACGAAAAACAAACTCGTGACACGTGTAACTATTCTTTTTTATTTTAACTAAAATAAGATAATTTATTAACTGATAAAGATGAAACAAAAAAAAAAAAAGCGGGCTTTGCTGAAGCGGACTAGATTAACTTGCATTTTAATGATTGTTGCTTTGTTATACCCTAAAAAAAAAAGAGGCAAGAACATTGAGTTGTAACCACGTACAGAACTTTTATAACAACAACAAAAAAAAATACTGAAGAAGTAATAACTTGATAATTTAATTCTTCCAGCCATCTTGTGATAATTTTGTATAAACTATAATTCACCTGTGAATTAATCTTAAACCTAACATTTTGGGGTGCCCGGCATGGCCAGGTGGATAAGGCGCTCGACTCG